CCTCTGCCCGGGCCGCCACCCCTCGCGCCCACCGCCGCCGCCGGGACCCTGGCGGCCAGCGAGGGCAGATGGAAGAGCATGAGGAAGAGCCCTCTCGGGGGTGGCGGCGGCTCGGGAGCCTCCAGCCAGGCCGCCTGCCTCAAGCAGATCCTTCTGCTGCAATTGGACCTCATCGAGCAGCAGCAGCAGCAGCTGCAGGCCAAGGAGAAGGAGATCGAGGAGCTGAAGTCGGAGAGAGACACGGTACGCCAGGGGTTAATCTGCATTCGGGCCGAGGAGCGGGCTGTGCGCATGCTCGGGGGAAGGGGGCTTTAGGAGGTTAAGGGACCCCGGGTTAGGGGTCCGGGAGGGTGGCCACCATCCAGGCAGTGTCCCAGGTGTGGGTCTCTGGGAGGCAGACCCACAGACACGCAGGGTTGGAGGGAGAGGTTAAAGGGCAGCCTCTCCCGGGGAGGGGGAGGGGAGGCTTCAGGTGCCAAAGGGTTAATTTAAAATGACAGCCCCAGACTTGTGGGAAAGACGTGGAGAGGGGAAAGACCTGATTTGTGAAGGGTTAAAAGCGAAAGGGTGGGGTGCAGATGTTGGAGCGTTCTGGAAGGGGTTAAGTTAAAGAGCTCCTGCGTTGGAAAGGCATTGTGGAGGAGAGGCACGGAGCAGCTGTTGCTCTAACCCTGCTGCAGCATCTCCAGATAGGAGGGCAGCAGGCCTTTAGTGGGCAGGGGTGGAGGAGGTCTCCGTGGAATCCTGTCTTAGTTTTGTGGAACGATGCTAAGAGAATCACTGCCTTTGATTTCAGACAGTTTTTGATAGGAATCTGAGTTATAAAACACGACCCACTGACCAGGTCCCTGGTATAAGCATGGTGTTTGAAGCTGGAAGATTTTAAGGCATCAGGGGAAAGTAAGCTTATTAAATGTATTAAGTAGACCCCCTCCAAAAAAATCCCTATTTTAGAATCTTAAGATAGTAGGAAAGTCATTTATTATTTATTTACTTCTGAGGAGCATGATTACATAGGCTTGTTTTTACTGCAGCGGTAGTTAAGGACACCTCTGCGTTAAAACATATTCCTTAGGTATCAGGGAAGCTGGGTTGGTGGGTATTACTGTGCTAGCATATCTTACAGCTGCCTAAAAATAAGCATGGTTTCTACAATTGTTGTGTTCAGGCTGCAGCAGTCAGAGTCAGCCTGTGTGTGTGTCTGTCCGTTTGTCTCTCTCTCCTCTCTCTCTCTCTCTCTCTCTCTCTCTCTCTTCTGTCTCTCTCTCTTTCTGGCGTTGTGTGCGCCAAGGGCTGGGCAAGGGAGCAGAGGGCTATTCATTTTGTTGGCTTTCCAAATGAATTGAATCGGGCGGCCGTTTTATTTAGAATGCATTCTGTAAGGTGGAATGGGAGCTGGGGCAGGTCTCATTAAAATACCTCATGGTGTTGATTTGTGGAAGTTACTCAACATGGAGGTGGCACTGCTCAGCTACTGTACTGCAGTCAAGGGGAGTGATGGTAATTACAACACATCCTATACTGGGGGGGGCAGTGAAGGAGAAGAAAGGACCAGTGAAGGAAATGTCACCAACAAGCTGTGGTTAAGCAATGCTGAGGCTGTGAATGAAAACATGAAGAGTTGAAATGAGACTATGGCTGACATGGGGGGCTCGTTGCTGATTGTGGAGGTTTCTGCTCTGTTTCTGAGGCAGTGTCCCCTTTGCAGGCTTCCCTAGGCTGGAAAAGTGGGGTGAGTTAAGGACAGAGTGTCAGTCTGAACTTGGTATTCGCTGCTTCTGTTGTGTATTGCAGTCTTCATGTTGCTTAAGCTTGTTTCTCTTATTCCAGTTGTTGTGTGGCCTTGACTGAAATCTATGTAATGAATGTAATAAAGGCGGCATTAATGCCACTGTCTAACCCAGTTAAAATTCTTTTAATAAGATTTAAGTAGCACAGTTAGCACCTTTTCCAAAACTAAACTAATATGAAGTTTTCAACGATAATAGACTTCCAGTTTTCTGTTTAATTATGTAGTCCTCCCCTTTGTTTAAAATTAAAGGACTTTGATTTTCATAGATAGGTAAATAGGTATAATTTTTCCTGTTATTTCAAATGCAAAGCCATATGTAAATATCATGATTGTTGGGATTTATGAGTACTGATTTCTGTTATACTTTCTAAATGGAAATTTAATTGTTTTAAAAGTCCCTCCTTCCCCCTCTCAAATAACATTGCCATCCCTAGTGGCACTCTGAGCTCTTTCTTTCTCAGTGTACTGTTTGGACTTTGCCATTGTATATAGAGTCTTGGAGTAGAAGTAGAGAGGTTAGAGTTTGGACAACTTTAGGGCCTCTTTAAAGAACATGTATAAGGTTAATTCTGGAAACTCCCAAATCAACTTGGAGCTACATGGTTAGCAGTAGCAGAGACTATACCATTAAAGGCATGCTGCAGCCCCTCCCAGTAGAGAGGATCTTCTTTCAGAAGAATGAACTACAAATTCCCTCATGTCTCTTCCCTTCTAGGTTAACCCTTAAAATTAAACAGTGTACCTTGTCTTCTATACTGTTTTTAAGGAAAACTATTCAGATTGATAACTACCTGAGAAAAATAAGTTGAGTTGTTATGGTCCACAGAAAGAGGCAGAAGACTATGCTGATTCCTAAATGGGGCTGAGTATCTATGTGTTTAATTTTTTGGTGTTAAGTCTGCATTTTACCACTCTCTCTTTTAGCTCCTTGCTCGGATTGAACGTATGGAAAGGCGGATGCAGCTGGTAAAGAAGGATAATGAGAAAGAAAGGCACAAGCTGTTTCAGGGCTATGAAACTGAAGAGAGAGAGGAAACAGAGCTATCTGAGAAAATTAAACTGGAGTGCCAGCCGGAGCTTTCCGAGACATCCCAGACTCTGCCTCCCAAGCCTTTCTCATGTGGGCGGAGTGGAAAGGGACACAAAAGGTGTGCTGATAAACTTCATTACACTGTCTGGACATGATGAGGACACTTGTTACTGGTGATTGAGAGTAGGAGATTAGGATTTATAAATTGTTTTATAACAATCACAGCCTGAATTATGAAGTCTTCTGTTCTGAGAAACTATCTTGAAACATTCTTGTGCAGACTATGAAAGTCTGTTAGGAATATTTTGGTCAGAAGAGTAATTACGGAATGCAGAGTGCATCATAAAAAAAATGGGCAACAAATGTGACAGCTGAGTTTCTGAAAGAAAACTATAGTAGCGGTTCACTTCAAGTTAGGAAATGTTAAACTTCTTCATTGTTTTGGGCTTTGGTAGACATAAAAAAATAAAGTAGAACTGTCTTTGGACTCAGAGAAATTAGTCAAACTGTAAGTATGGGCATAAATTATGAACACTCAGAATTCAAATGCAGTAAAATATGTGGATGTATAATCTTGATATAAACTAAGTTTTGTAAGATTAAGGGGTAGTAAAGATTATTCTAAGTTAGTGAAACTTTAAATAGGGGATGAATCTTGAAAAAGAAGTATAAAATTTAGATTGGTAAAGAGAAAAGGAGATGATGTTCTAGGGATGTGGGGTAGGGGTAAGAAGGGAGGGAGAGAGAAGGAGAAGGAGAACAAGCCGACAGAAAAAGGAAATGGAGATTGTAATTAATGTGTTACAGGGTTGGTAGGAAAAGTAAAGAGACTGAGCTCTAGTTGACAGGAGTGTAGTTAGTGGCACAGAGTAGTGGCACCTAACATTGGCTTAAAGGACTTTGGTTAAAATAGGGACCTAAAATCTAGTAGGCAACAGGATACCATTTGAGATTCTTAAACACAGGAATTCACTTATTCAACAGACATTTGGGCCTATTTTATATGCTGTTAAGCAAGGACTGTTCCTGCTCATGAGCTGCCAGATGAGCACCATTTAGGTACCTGGATACTGGTCATTTGGGGGAAGAGAATAAGCTAGTTCTCTTGTCCCAAAATGTGTTCACATTAGATTTTATTCAAGAGTCAATAAATCATATAATGTTTTCTTCCCTGTTTAATAGGAAATCCCCATTTGGAAGTACAGAAAGAAAGACTCCTGTTAAAAAGCTGGCTCCTGAATTTTCAAAAGTCAAAACAAAAACTCCTAAGCACTCTCCTATTAAAGAGGAACCCTGTGGTTCCTTATCTGAAACTGTTTGTAAACGTGAATTGAGGAGCCAAGAAACCCCAGAAAAGCCCCGGTCTTCAGTGGACACCCCACCAAGACTCTCCACTCCCCAAAAGGGACCCAGCGCCCATCCCAAGGAGAAAGCCTTCTCAAGTGAGATAGAAGATTTGCCGTACCTTTCCACCACAGAAATGTATTTGTGTCGTTGGCACCAGCCTCCCCCATCACCATTACCATTACGGGAATCCTCTCCAAAGAAGGAGGAGACTGTAGCAAGTAAGGCATAGAGAACACTTGCTCTTATACCCTAGTGGTGGCGGTCAAGCTAACAAGTGTGAAATGCCTTTGGCATTTTTTAAAAAGTGCAATCAATAAAGCAGAGTTCTGTCAAGAATGAGTAAGTTAACAGCCAGAGACAGACACTGTGCAGGCATTGCAAATAGATGGAATTACAGCAAAATGTGCTCAATGTATTTGCCTGCTTACAACACTGGGAGATGTGTTTGCCAGTAAGTTGCTCATCACCAGAGCACCAGACTTGGGGGTGTAATCTCCGGCAACTTGCATGCCCTCTGAAAGAAGGGTTTTCTGTGCTGTGAAATGCATAGAACTTATACTTTGCCATGCACGACTGTTCCTGCAATTGATATTGTGTGAAACCTGGGAGGGTGGTCTTTGGGTGTTCTCAGGGGCCAATGGTAATTTTTGGGTTGGGGAGCCAGCTTGGGGTGGGGAGTTTCACCTGGGCCTCCGCTCTTTAACTATATAAACATTTATCTGTATCTCTATGTCCCGGTCTGGGGGGCAGGAGGAATCTGCCAAAGACCAACAGTCTTACTTTATCTTACTATACTTCACAAAGGTTCTAAAATGTGAAGAGTTTATTTGGATTGCAGTAGCCCATTGGTTGTTCATATATTTAAATAAAATGGTCTACAAACTATTTTTCAAACAATAAGGACTATCTTGGGATATCTGAGCTGCTTGGGGTGGGTGTGGGGTTGTGGGACCTTGGTCTTCATTCCCTTTTTTTTTTTTCTTTATGGCTTCCACACAGAGATGTTCCCCTATCTTCTACATCAACCAGTAACTGGAATGTGCCTTCAATCATGTAATTTTAGTCTATGACAGTCACTGCGGGTACTCGGGGGTGATGGTGGGGGAGACCTTTTTGGATAGAGCTGCAGTCCTGTTTCTACTGCTGTGTCTTGCCCTGGCAGGGTGGCGATGGAAATCCATTCCAATGAGACAAGAGCATTCTCCAGGCTTTGTTTGGCTGTTCTGGTGACAAAATTCAGTGGGAAAGATAGATCACTCTTCTTAATTATCTAACATTTATTAGGCCTCACACTTGAGTACATGAGATAGACCAGGTGCTCATCTAGGTTCAGATTTTTTTTGTTGGTTCAGTCAGTTGAACAGGTTTATCCTTAATGGCTAACCTTTTTGCTGCCATGGCAATGCTGCGTAACAACTTAAGAGAAACTGTGAAGCAACTTCCCATCCAGGACTGAGAAATGGCTTGGTCCAGAGCTGTTCTGTGTGACTGGCTACTTTTGAAAACCCTATCTTCCCTAGTACAGAAAATTCCAAACACCTCTGAGATTTTGGGCATAGCAGTATGAAGGAGTCTGGGGAGATTCCAGCCCCTTGAGGAGCCTGAGTTGTGAATAAACATGTGAATCCTTATTCTTGATGCCCCTATCTCAAGAGGAAGTCTCAATGACTTGTTCTAAGGAAGCCAAAGTCTTTGTGCATGTTGTTCAGGCTGGACCAGCAAGGTAGTTTGGAGGGAGGAGGGAGCTGTTTAAGAAGACTACATCTGTAAGTTTTGAGAACACTGATCTTTTATTTGAAAAATAGGGTCAACTTTTACTCACCTGCCATGTTCTGAGTTTAAGGTTTGATATCCTTGGCCATCAACTGTTGCAGGGAAACCACCCTAAATAATGAAGAAAAGAAGTCGTCTCAGTGTAAAAAAAAAAAGTGGTGGGCTTATTTTCTTTTCTTTTGTCTGTTGTTCCCTCTTCCCTTCCCCCAGAGAGAAATTCTCAAAAGAGCAACTCAAAAACCAAAATGGCTTCCTAGTGAGAACTTCAATGATGCTCCTTTCCTCCATTTTGGGTATGGGCTTTTTTTCTTTTTACACTGAGATGATTCTTCTTTCCTGCATTATTTAGGGTGTCTGATGCCATCAAGTGTTGCAGGAGAAACTTCAGTCTTGGCTGGTGAGTAGAATAGGAATTGTGCTGGCTGGGCCTGGGGAGGGGGTTGGTGGGATGGTGGATGGTTGGGAGCTGCATTCCCCATCCGTTGGATGTGGGAGAGTGAGATTCCTTGGCGTATGACTGCTTACACTACTATAGACTTCAAAATGACAACACATTTCAGTTGTTTTTCAGGAACTGCAAATAGCATCCATTATATGAATTGTCAGGTATTGGCTTAGGGTTTTTTGTGATCCTGGGTTTGGCAGACTGCAATGGCATTTTAGGTCCTTTTATACCATAGCGAGGACACTGAATATGGCTTCAGGGAGGCCATAGAATGGATTCCTATCACTTGGTAACTTTGTCTTATCTGGAGAGAGACCTCTTGTCCTAGTTAATAGTTGTGCGACTTTGGATTTAAGGGTGGTTCCACCCCTCCTCCCTTTCTTTTTCTTTTCTTTTTTCAGTTCCTTCTTGGAGGGACCACTCAGTAGAGCCTCTAAGGGACCCAAATCCTTCAGACCTTTTGGAGGTAGGTACTCAAGAGCAGTTAATTGAAGACAGTAAGAAACTAAGTAGAACATGGAATATATTGTGAAAACATAGTATTATGGATGGGTTAATAGAATTTTAAGGCTAGAAGGGGACTTGAGACATTTTCTAGTCTAGCTTCTTCATTTTTTTTTTGAGTTGGAGTCTCAATCTGTCACCCAGACTGGAGTGCAGTGGCCGCTCCCGGCCACCGCAGCCTCAACCTGCTGGGCTCCGGTGATCCTTCCGCCTCAGCCTTAGCTTCTTCATTTTATAGATGAGAATACTGAGGTCCAAAGTGGTTAAAAAGTGAATATCCGGACTCAGTGGCTCAAGCCTGTAATCCCAGCAATTTCGGAGGCTGAGCCAAAAAGATTGCCTGAGCCCAGGGGTTTGAGACCAGCCTGGGTAACTTGGCGAGACCTCGTCTCTACAATAAATCAAAAAATTAGCTGGGCGTGTTGGCACGCGCCTATAGTTCCAGCTACTTGGAAGGATGAGGCAGAAAGATCGCCTGAGCTCAGCACATCGAGGCTGCAGTGGCCATGAGCATGCCACTGCACTCCAGCCTGGGCAACAGAGTGAGACTCCGCCTCAAAAAAACACACAAAAAGAATGGATTAGCCGGCTGAGCATGGTGACTCAAGCCTATAATCCCAGCACTTAGGGAGGCCGAGGTGAGAGGATTGTCTAAGCTCAGGGATTCGAGACCAGGCTGGGCAACTTGGTGAGACCTCATCTCTACAATATATTAAAAAATTAGTTAGGCTTGGTAGCACACACCTGTAGTTCCAGCTACTTGGAAGACTGAGGAAGAAGCATTGCTGGAGCCCAGCAGGTCGATGCTGGGGAGGCTTTGAGCGATCCACTGCACTCCAGCCTGGGTGACAGAGTGAGACTCTGACCCAAAAAAAATAAATAGTCCGGGCTCAGTGGCTCAGCCTGTAATCTCGCGCTTTGAGAGGCTGAGATGAGTGAATTGCCTGCGAGTTCGAGACCTGCCTGGGCAACTTGGCAAGACCTCATCTCTGCAATAAATCAAAAAAATTAGCCAGGCTTGGTAGCGTGTGCCTCTAGTTCCAGCTACTTGGAAGGCTGAGGTGGAAGAATCACTGGAGCCCACCAGGTCGAGGCTGTGGTGACTGGAAACGGCCACTGCATTCCAGTATGGGCGACAGAGTGAGACTCCAACTCAAAAAAATAAATAAATAGCCAGGTAGTGTTCACAACAAAGATAGATTTTATACTAAGTGAAAGTTAGCATATATCACTCAGCAGCAAAATTATATGTCCCATGCTCATTTGACTTTTAAAAATTTTGATTATTTTAAACTCAGACTCATAAAAACTGTGGAGGCAGGGAAGGTTTGTGACAGTCTTGGGATATTTCAGTTTGATGTGGTGTTTACCTTGGAAAGTTTTGGAAATGATTTTGAAATTTGGAGATTCTAAAAGGGTAGGGGTGGGGAAAGGAGTATGTGTTTTGCTGATTCTGTTACCAGGAGGTTCACATAATATCCGTAGAACCCACAGACTCAGGTTGAACTTGAAGGTGAAAGATTTTACATTCCTGGAAGCTGTAAATTAGTATATGTGTACCTAGTATATGGTGATAAATAGCTTATCAGCTGCTCTTCTTTACACAGAACCTAGATGACAGTGTGTTTTCGAAGCGGCATGCAAAACTGGAGCTAGATGAGAAGAGAAGGAAAAGGTGAGGTCAGAGATATCTGTCTCGGGAACGACTGAGCCCTAGGACCCTGACCTCCCTCTTCCATACTGTGGAGAATCTTGGCGCTCTTAATACTCTTACATTACTGGCTTCCCAACTGATTGAATATCTTAGTTGGAAATGGTAGCTGTTGTGTAGGTAAACACAATTGGCCATTTTTTCTTTGTGCATGACCTCTCAGTTCTACTTTCTGTGGAACACCAACACATGACCTGGACTGGTAGACCTAAACAGCTTTTCCCTAACTGGGCAGTATTTCTCTTTACCCTATCTAGAGGAGTGAGCAAGGATCTTCCTAGCATCTGGATTGTGTGAGTTGCTCTTATAGAGCAGGTTTTGAGTAAGCAGTAATGCTGGGTTTGTTTGTTTTGTTTGTCTGGTTTGTTTTTCCCAGATGGGATATTCAGAGGATCAGGGAACAAAGAATATTACAGCGACTGCAGCTCAGAATGTATAAAAAGAAAGGAATTCAGGAATCTGAGCCTGAGGTTACCTCATTTTTCCCTGAGCCAGATGATGGTAAGTTTTGTCTATCTAAAAGAGTAGGTTTTTCAAAGAAGAAAAAGGGTACAAGGCTCCAGGATACAACTTGCTCTGAATGAATGTACTGTATTTTGAAACAGGTATAGTTTTCCATCTATGACACTAACAAACTCCCATTTGACTTTCTCCCATAGTTGAAAGTTTGATGATTACCCCCTTCTTGCCTGTTGTAGCATTTGGACGACCATTACCAAAATTAACTCCACAGTAAGTATAAAGCTTTTTTTTTCCTTCCCACTTATGTAGCCTGTACCTCCCTTTCAGACTTCATGGAAGCCTAGATATAAGGTAGAACCAGGTGACTTAGGGATAGCCATAGTTCTTTGACAGAAATGAGGCTACTTGGGCAACTAGCTTTTGTAATAAGACTACAAAGCCAGGAATTAGGAGGATTGCATTTTGAGTTAGGAATAGATTATTCCATCACTTTTTTTTTTTTGAGTTGGAGTCTCACTCCATTGCCCAGACTGGAGTGCAGTGGCATGCTCCCGGACACTGTAGCCTTGACCTGCTGGGCTCCAGCGATCCTTCCGCCTCAGCCTTCCAAGTAACCGGAACTATAGGTGTGTGCTAGCACGCCTGGCTAGTTTTTGATTTATTGTAGAGACGAGGTCTCGCCAAGTTGCCTGGGTGGGTCTCAAACCCCCGGGCTCAGGCAGTTCACTCACCTTAGCCTCCCAAAGCACGGGATTACAGGCTGAGCCACTGAGCCTGGCTTATTCCATCACTTTAATGGTACACTGTTGCTGGGCTTTGAGGCAGGAAAGATATTCTGAACTTGAGACTCAAGAGTCAGGGCTAGGAGTGGTGAGGGACATAGTGACTTTTTTGGAGTTGCTATCCTGTGCTCACTGAATCTCTTCTAGTCTTGCAAGTTGATTTCCTCATCCTTTTTTGCCAGGAATTTTGAGCTGCCCTGGTTGGATGAGCGTAGCCGATGCAGGTTGGAGATCCAGAAGAAGCAAACACCTCACCGGACGTGTAGGAAATAGCTGTGCTGGCAAGAACCTTCTGTCTTCAGATAGTTGTAGCATGCCATTCCCAGAGTGGCACAGACCTGTATATGTGACCTTTGTCCTCATTTATGTTATCATTTGCTGATGATGCCCTTCCATACTCCCTTGATTTTGGTTTTGTTTTCATCACTCTGATTTCACAAAAACTCTATTGTGATTTATAGAGTGTGATAGCATTTATTTTCTCTTTTTAGGGAAATGAACTCACCATCTAAATCTATAGGATGGCAGATTTGGAAGTTAGTTTCAGGGGTCTGCTATACATTTGCCTATTTAAAGGGTAAAAGGGCTCTCTTCATTAGACATGTGGAAGATGAAGCAACTCCTGCCTTTAGAGCTGTGCCTGCATGACACTCTTCTCGCCCTGGTATACCCTCCTTATAATTTGGGTATAAAAGTATTCACCCCAAAACGAAACAAAAATTACCATGAGCTTTAGGACCAGACAAGGAATAACAAGTGAAGTGATAAAGAAAGTCATCCTAACAGAGTAGAAAAGAGAACAGAGTGTTGGCGGATAAATGTCTAAAAGATAGTTGTTTTCTTAAAGCTATTCTGTGATATAGCCATGTGGGGAGGAATGTTTGTGATTTTTTTTAGTTAATGGGTAACTGAATTTCTTCCCCCACCCCTCAAAAAACAAAATCTTTGGAAAAGAGAATGAGGATGGTTAGTTTTAAACAAATTACTATTGTAAACAAAAGCAGTTGACATTTGGAATAGCATGTCAGAACCTGTATAGATGTCCTTGTGTCACATCACTTCTCAAGTATTCCTTAATTGGGCTTTATCCATTTAGCTGAGCTCTTGGTGGTGGGGTAGAGATTTAGGGAGGGTGGGGGGAGGGTGTGGAAATATGTGCTTTCTTTGGCTGGCAAATGTCTACATCTTGAAACAAGCAGATGTACCTAATGAGCTTCTCCATTCACTTTGTAAGAATAGATTTGTATGTGTACCATCTTGGTGTCCCCCCCGCCCCCATTTTATTAAAATATCAGGACAGCACTCCCAGGCCACTTTGGTCTTATGTAAGATCCCTATTAGCTATCTGAAAGGAAAATAGAGCCAAGACCTCTGGTCTCAAATATATAGGAATTGCCTTTCTTTAGTCTTCAGGACTATTGTGTGAAAACAAGTAGGGGTCTAATCTCCTAGAAGGTAGGGGCTTTTATCCTTGAAGAGAATATGTCCCCAGATTATTAGCACTTTTAGAGGAGAAGCCAAGGTATGTAGGGTATGTGGCCGGCCCATCAGTGGAGCATGAGAGAGAATGGGATACCATTGTGGGAAGAGAAGAAAAGTTCCTCAGGGGCCTCCCACTGCTCAAGCTTTTTGTGAGATGTTGATCTGTGCTTCCTGGATTTGACTTTTAAAGGAATTATTCCAGCAGCACATGTAGTATTCTTGGATGATCTTGCTGCTCTTATTTCTCCGTGTGTGTGTGTGTGTGTGTGTGTGTGTGTGTGTGTGTGTGTGTGTGTGTGTGTCTCTGTGGGTTTTCATTTGTAACTCCATCTGCTTAGGAGAGTGGGCTCTCTATAAGGGAACCGCTGTAAACTTCGTTGCAGCAAGGATGTAGAGAGAAATAGGACTTAATTCCACTAGGGGCTCTCATCTCACACCTTAAGAAGGAGATTTCTAAAAAAAAAAAAAACCGGGCCGGATTTTCTTTGTTTTCATCATTTTAATATGGCAAACTGTTCAGCTTTCCTACTCTGACTTATGTTATTATGTTCCTTTATAATGTGCCCAAAAAGAAAAAAAAAAACCCTAATCAGTGTCTCTTGACTTTGTTCCTTGATCCCTCTCAGTTTCTTCTTCATTTCAGCATTTGTCAGATTGCTAATTTTGGATATGGGTTAGCAAATTTAACCTTTATGTTTGTGCCCTACCCAGGGAACTCCTATTTCTGACTTGAACTAGACTAAGAGGAATTCATGAGGTGCTATCTGGCCAGACTTAAGTGGATTCTATTTCCTTGATTCTCCCTCTCCCTGAGGACCTCTTATTTTATTGTTCCCTCTTCTAGGTCAATTCTCCTTTGATTTGGATATGCTGAGGTTTGTTGAGAAGGAGGCTGAAGAGTAGATTAGCAAAGTTCCAAGAGTGATATTAAACAGTGTGTTAGAGTGTGGGGGGAAAATTAGTCTTATTTTTCCCTACATGGGATACAACACTGTGAAATTCAATCTTCAACTGAAGGCCCTGCAGTTCTCCTAAAACATAGTTCTTTGTTTTTCTTTAACAAAGTTTAAGCTAGTGTTAATAAATTAAAAAGAGAAATTGCTTGTCTGTCCAATTCAGCTTTGTTTTATGCCCATTTCATATTGTTCTGTGTTGTAATTCATACTTTTGATACCATTTCTGATGTGTAAAATTGGTTGTCTTGTAAATATCTTATAAAGAGTTCAATTGTAAATAAACTATTGTGGCTGTTAATTTTTGAACCTCTGCTTCAGTTTATTAGATTTATTAGCAAGCATTAAACAATTCTGTTTGTATATTTGAAAGTTCAGAAAAAGAAATCCATTTTCACAATAAAAAACATTATTTTCCCCTTTATATAAGGTACTCACTTCCACTTGTGTATAAGTACAATGTATGTTTTATCCTTCTTTGTCCAGTGTGCTTCCTGTCACATTGCTGGCAACTTTAAAAACGAGACTGTAGGATACTTGGTGCCTGGTGTCTAAATTAATAAAACATTATAGTTGGAAAGACCTTAGAGGTCATCTAGTCTGACCCTTGATACATGATTTCCCCCAACAACATTCCAGACAAATGAAGTCCAGCTTCTGCTTCAACACTGTTTTTCCCATACATTTTTTTCCCCCTAAATGTTTGAAAATTCCTCCTGGTTGACAAAATCTAACTTGTAACTAGAACCCATTGGTTCTTGCTTTGTCTTCCAATATGATGAAAAAAGATCAATCTCTTCTTTTCCTCATAGTTCCTCTAATAGTTAAACATTGCGGTGACTATCCAGGTCTTCTCTTCCTGAGATCTTACATTCAGAGATCTTAGTATTGTTCTGAAAAAAGTCTGACTTTTCAGGTCCTTCTGGATAAATGAACAATTTACCCACATTCATTTAGAAATTGAACCTAGACCAAACATCTGAAGGACAAAGTGGCAGTCTATTACTTTCCTTATTGCGACACTAAGCTTAGCAGCCTTCCTTATATGTACCAATTTGGCTTGTGATCGATAAGATCTTCCGAGTTTCTTTCCTTGACACTTATTAAATCATATATCCTGAATTTTGAATTTAGGTGGTTGACTTGGAGCTGGACTTACAAGTTGTTGCATTTGGCTACTTGTCTAACCAGTTGAGATTGCTTGAATCTTGATTCAATCTCTGAAAGTTTCATAATTCCTTCTATTGTCTTTAAATTTGATATACAACAGGATTTTTTTTTAACTTTATTTTTGAGTAGGAATTTAATTCTGTCACCCAGGCTGGAGTGCAGTGGCACACTCAGCCACCGCAGCCCCAACCTGCTGAGCTCAGGTGATCCTTCTGCCTCAGCTTTACAAGTAGCTGGAACCACAGTTGTGGGCCACCACAGTCAGCTAATTTTTCGATTTATTGTAGAGACGAGGTCTCGCCATGTTGTCCAGGCTGGTCTCGAGCCCTTGATCTCAGGCAATCCTCTTGCCTTAGCATCCCAAAGTGCTGGGATTACAGGCGTGGGTAACCGTGCCTGGCACATCAGGATTCGTAACCATATGATTGATAAAAATATTACTTAGGGTAGTATTCTGTACTATTGTTTTTTGTTTTTTTTTTTTGAGTTGGAGTTTCACTCTGTCGCCCAGACTGGAGTGCAGTGGCCGCTCCCGGCCAACGCAGCCTCGAA